GGGTGATAGCGAAGAGGAGAACCCCAACTCAGCTGAATCAATTGCCGAACGGCACTTTGCAGAGAAGTTTTTGGAGTCGCTCGGGGGGCCAGACAAGCTTTTGGCTGGCACTGGCATGAGCAAGCAAGACTTGGAGAAGCTTCGAGAGCATAGTGTGACTGGATGGACGGATCGAGACACGCCGGATGTGTACGAGTCCATGCAAATGCCTTATCAAGCGACAGGAGAGGAGAATAGCTATCCTGACCTAAGGAAGGAGCCGTTTGGGCCTACACCAGATGCATTGAAGTGTGGAGATTCACCCATTGCTCTTTTCTTCTACTTCATGCCAGTTGCACTTTGGCAGTACATCGCAGTGAGCAGTAATAACTACAAGCACGAGCAACTCGAAGCACGTGTGGAAGCTTATGTTGAGCGCCGGAAGCACATGCAGCGACGTCGGCCTGAGGACAAGACACCGGTCCGGACGCGTGGTGATTTGCGCATGAGTCTGATGTCAGTGAAGCCTATACTTCCCCATGAACTATGTGTATTTATTGGGCTTTTGTTAGCTAGGACTGTACAGCCCAATCGCGAAAAAATTTCGAACCATTGGAAACGTTCAGATGAAGGAGCGATATCCCGTGGAAATTTCACTCATTTCTTGAAACGGGATCGCTTCATGGAGATCTCTCGCAACCTTCACTTTTCCAGCAACCTTGACCCGCGTGCCAAGACCGACAGGGCCTGGAAGATCCGGAAGCTGGTGCATGTGCTGCAACGTACATTTCGACGTGGATTCATACCCCCTGCTGAGCTTGCTTTTGACGAAGCGATGCTTCCGTCACGCTCATCATTCAACCGAACTCGGGTGTACATGAAGGACAAGCCATGTAAATGGGGGACGAAGTTGTTTATGCTCTGTTGTGCGCGCACGGCCTATTGCATCAGGTACGGAATTCGGTTGCTAAGTTGTATAATACATATCATGGAAAGCCAATGTTGTATATGTTTGCTGTATATACAGGTTTGAGGTCTATGTTGGTAAGAAGCAACACATTGACGACGCATCTTCAGTTGATAAGAAGTCTGGACCTGCGGCGGTTGTACGTAACCTGAAAGCAGCCTTCCCTGACGGTCAAGATAAGGGCTTCCGTCTCGTGGTCACTGACCGATACTACACGAGTGTTGTGCTTGCAATTGCTCCTGATGGGATTTTACACGGTCGGGACAATTATGACGAACCGCATTGGCTACGCCACGAGCCTAAAGGAGAACAAGAACAACAGGAAGACTCGACCAAAGAACATTGTACGAGGGACTTTTACGTTCGTACGTTCGAAACAAGTGAAGTAAATGGCAGCTATCAAGTGGTGGGACAGCAAACCAGTTTTCTTCCTATGTACTGGAAGTGATCTTGCGTTAGACAGAGTGGTGAGGAGAGAGAAGACCGGGGACCAGCGTGAAGTGCCTTGTCCAAAAGCAGTCAAAGACTACCACAAATATATGGGCGGATTTGATGTGCACGATCAACTCCGCTTGCTACGCTACTCACTACAGCGGGCGGTGACCTTTCGGAAATACTATAAGTCCCTGTTTTTGGGGTTGGTGGATCTTGCAATAGTCAACGGATATATTGTACATCGTGCGTACCATGAAGCAAAGGGAACCCGCCCCTTGACCCACGTCCAATACATTCGCAAGTTGCACTTGGAGCTCATCCACTTGAAGGACTCAGACATGTACGAAGGCAATACGTTTGGAGCTGGTAAGTTTGTGTTTGTTTTGTGCTGTATATACGTGGCAATGTAACCTGTATATGCATGTTTACTACAGACCCACCACCACCAGTCTCAACTGAGAATGACGCTCTAGCCACAAGCGCAAATGACGAAGGAGGGAGCTCAGAGCATGTTATCCATTCACCGAAGCAAGTTGACGAGTGGCGAAAGCACTCAGGACAGCTGAAACGCGTACAGCGCAACTGCAAAGTGTGTTCTTTGCTGCGATCAGACGGAAAACGTGGCGGGACAACGACCTACTACTGCGACGCATGCTTTACCGCGTTGCCTGTGTATTTGTGCATGAAGCCAAAGCACATGATGGAAGAAGAGCTACGTAGCTGCTGGGACATATGGCATAACAAGTTCAAGAATGGTACTGAGATACCTGACAACTTGCAGGGCAAGATACGACTACGGCAGTCGCCCGCCAAGCGTCGCCGGTCTCCTTCGGACGAATAATTTTTTGATGTGATTGTGCTTTTGCTGCGTCCTGTAATTCATTGAATACTAACATTGCCTTTCCGATTGATTTC